AAAAAAAAAAAAAAAAAATGGTTTCACCAAGAAAAAGAAGAAGGATTGGAGAGGAAAAACAGCACAAGCAGAGTGTCATGGAGAGTAGACTGTGTAATTTAATGCCGACTCATCTACTCACTGACTATTACAATAATGCTTGCTTACTGAAAGCTGTGAATGAAATAGAGTGCAGCTTTTCTCTCTCTTGTTTTTTTCTCTCTCTTGGTTTTTGTCCACTCTCTCTCTAAATTTAAAGATTAGGTGGGCATCTCTCCAATTTCTTGCTGTGGGACACATGCCCGACGGGGATCGAAGATATAGCACTAGATATATCAGTCCTCTAAATTAGCCCTGAGCATGGGACACGGAGAATTTCGAACTATTTCAAAAATTGAAAAAATAATTGTTGATCGTTTGACTTTTTTTGAATCGAAAAAATAATTGGTAGAGTTTTGGAGATTTCACAAATATTCGTACCGAAAACCGAACTATCTCATTCCGTACCGAACCGAAAAATTAAAATTAAGTACCGAAATGTGTTATTAATATGCTATTATATGGGATCAAAGTTGACATAAAATGTGTTATTAATATATTTTATATCAACTTTGATCCCATATAATGAAGTAATAACTATTAACCTTCACTTAAATTCCATGCTTAGTAATACTTGATCTACAATTGAATTTTTTCCTATTATAAAATAATTGTTTAAAATAATATGAAAGGTTAAAGAATATATTTTGAAGATAAAACAATTATATTTTGTTTGAATTTTAAATTTGCAATATTAGTTGCACAAATTTAGTCTTCACTAAAATTTAGAGTTACTTCTAAAGATTATTTCAAAATAAAATCTTTAATATGAGGAAGTATTGATGAATGCGTTTTATTAAAGCATATAAAAATTAATAACTAAAATTTAGAGTTACTTTTAAAATTGATTTCAAAATAAAATCTTCAATATGATGAATTATTGATGAATGTTGTTCTTTTTAAGCATACAAAAATAAAATTATAACTAGGTAGTCATTAAAAAAAAAATTAAAAAATAAGACATCTCTGAATATCCGAACCAAACCATATCGAACCGAACCGAATCATCTCAATAGTCTCGAATACCGAACCGAACCGAACTGAACCGAACCGACTTTTTGGCACGGTTTCTGTAGATCGAATTTTGGGATCTCCGAATTTTGGTACGGTTCCGGAGATATATCAATCTTCGATCCGTACCGACCCACACTCACCCCTACTCTAAACAAAACAAATTGGAAAATGGAAATTAAAAACAAAAATAATGCGACCAAAACACACTCAGAGTTTTTTTGTAGACCCCGAAAAATAGAATACCTTTACCAATTTCCTTTTATTACTTTCTTTTCTTTTTTGTCATGTAAGCAATAAGGATATCCATTACCCTCTCATTCATTCAACTAGGGGTGTACAAATTATGATTAACCGACCGAAATCAACCGAAGCTGAAAATTCTGTTTGGACCAAAACCGAAATCGAAACTGAATGTTTGATTCGGTTTACGGTTTTTAAAATTTCAGTTTTCGATTCGGTTTGAATATAATCTCTCGATTAACCGAACTGATCCGACCGAAAACCGATATTATACACATAAGTTACAAAAATCCAAAATAAATATACCATTATTTAATAACTGAATATAAGTCCATAGGCCCAAGGCAAGGCCAATACTGCACTTGGCAGGCCCAATCCCATGAAATTGAATTGAAATCCCAACACTCGTCTTTCAGCTACCCAATTGAGCAGAAAATTCCAAACTCGGCATTCCCATAAAATTTCCAAAGTAGTGTGCGGCCCTCACTTTAGTGGGAAAAAAAACTAACATCGTCTTAGGAAAAGAATTTCTAATATATAATTGTATATTATTTTAATTTTAATGAACATGTATGAGGCTTGATAGATATGTAGTTTGGGACAAGTATTTTTTTTTCTTTTCATTTTAGTTTGTTTTGGTAAAATCTATATATAACTCTACTATATATCTCTCTTATATATATACAAACGAGTTTGGGCAGTTGTGGTGGCGACACGTGTCCATTTTCGACCATTTCAATGGTCGACACGTGGCAATTTTGTTTTTTTTTTTGGCTCTGATTGAACCAAACGACGCCGTTTTGGTGTCTTAATGGGATGCGTGCAATTGACGAAACTGCCCTCTATTATTCAATTGTTTGGAGTTGTACTTGGTAATTTCACCCGGTCTGACTTCTCAATTAAGTCTCCACCTACACACGTCTTCTCATTCGAAATCCCTGAAAATCTGCTGCAACTTGCACGCTTGCGTGCTCGATGATGAAGTTGTGTACTGTGTGCCCTTATTCAGATCTCAAAAATCTTGTCCAAAATTCTTCACTCTCAAAAAATCCTCTCCCTCTGATAAAAAAAAAAAGAAACAAATTCAAGTCAAAGCCTCCGGAGGCGACAAGATTACGGGCGACTGTCCGTCGACGACAGTGCAAGGAGCAGCTTCGACGGCGAAAAGGCGGCAATATCTGCGGAGAGAGCCGAAGATTGAGAAAGAGGGAGACTCGAAGGGGCGGCGAGCCGGAGATTGAGAAAGAGGGAGACTCGAAGGGGCGGCGAGCCGGCGACGTAGAGAGAAGGAGACCCGACGATAGTGAGAGGGGGAGACTCAACGAGCAACAAATCCACTTTAGTCCACCGACATATTTAGGTAAATATGAATGATCTTTTCTGGATTGGCCCCTAAATCTTCTGAACTTGATATCGATTTCTTGTTCAGGAGCTTGTTTTTCCAATACTTGTGCACTCGTGATGTGGATCGAGTGCCTCAATTGGGCGACTAATTCTTCAAAGGTGCGCTGGCGATCTTGCTTCCAAGGTCTGAATCCCCTCCAATTTTCTGTTGTTTGATTTTGAAGGGTTTGTTCCCAATTATTGTTTTGTTCATTTATTTTGTGATTTTACAGAAAGCGGAGTAAGAATGCTCAGAGTTATGGAACCCTGAGCAGGTATGCGTACATTTTTTTTTTTCACTTTTTATTTACAGCGGGGTAGCGGTTTTGTCGTTTTCCATTTAATTTTGCTGTATTTTTTTGTTATTATACTCTGAACTCAATCTTATTTGGTTTAGAATTGATTTTTTTTGCTCAAATTGGTGAATTGATCAGTAGTGCGAGTTGTTAATTTATTCTATCCCTGCAGCTGGGAATTTTTCTGAATGCCATAAAGAGAATCCTGGATGTACGACACTGTGGGATTGAGGATAAACTGCAATCATGGACTTTCTATCTGCCCGTTCAATTGTGATGCTTATGTTTCAGGTATAATTTCCATTTCCTGTTAATAGAATATAGAAGTTTGTATGTTTCTAGATCTTCATATGTAATGTAGACAAAAAGATAAGTAAAAGACAGGTTCTTTTTTATTCTGAGATTGCATAAATAACATGAGGAAGTCAAGCCACACAAATCGGCCTATCATTTTCTCGTGTACTACAGACCTAATATTATCAACTTTAGTTCACTCTTCTGTAAAACATCTTGAGTTTGTCAAATTCGTAGGATAAGATCCCTAATTTGCAGTCTTACTGATTCTATCTTGGAATTGCAATTGGGACATGTTATCTCTTTGTTATCTTGGAATAGATGACGCTGATGAACTGGTGAAAACAATCAACACAAAGAAAAATGGAAAAGCTGTGGTTGTTGGTGGAGGATATAGCCTTTTCTCAAGAGTTGTGAACATATTTCTCAAGCAGCGGAAGCCGAAGTATTCGAGGAATCGCTATCATGCCGTCGCAGACACCCAAGCTGGATGGAGATGGGAGCAAGTAAAAACAACTCTCCATATTTACAAACCCTTCCCAACGAATTACCTTATTAACAATTTGATCTACACACACACACACAAGTATAATCGTGTACAACATGTGCGTGTGTGTGTGTATTCCTTCTCTAATTATTTTTTGGTCTTTTTTTTCCTTAACTATTGCATGCTTAAAGGTGTAGCTCCACAACCTATACATAGAAATGTACAACCAAATGGTCTAATAGCCAAAAAAATAAATGCTTCTTATTATCTGATAACTTCCCACAAGTAACAGTCAACTCTGTTTAAGGCCCTAGAAGAAATTTGTTGATGAGGGAAAACTAAGAAGGTTAAAACAATTTAATGCTTCCTTGTGTATGTGTCCCCCAATCATCTTGTGTTTTTCTTTCAATATCTTTAATTGCATGGTTTTTTTATCTTAATTGTACTTTATTTTTCTATCTTCTTGATGTTCCTTTCTTCTTTTGATTTTGCATAGTAATTACATCGTATTAATTTTCCCGACACCCAACACATGTCACGTGTCCTATAGTTTCCTTCTCTAACTTAAGGTCTTATGTTTCCATAGTAATTTTAGAATTGGAACACATATTGTATAATTTCTTAAATTCGTGAATAGTTTGTGTTATTTTTTAACTTTCTATATTATGAACTGCTTATACTTCTAGGAAAGATTCTGCACTGGCTTATCATCTTGTTATCATTTCATATATCAATAAATCCATGTTGGCCAGACTAGCATGTCGTCTTTTAAAAATTTAAAAGAGTATCTTGAGGCTATGACTCTTTCCTTCCCTCTGATTATGCATACTTGAGTTAGTAATCGGATTTGGTGTTAGCAAAGGTTATTTAACCTTTACTGGCATATTTATGAATGGGTGAGTGTTTGTTAGGTTTAGCAATTCTGTTAGGATAAGGAACATGACTGATAATCGAACATGATGCAATGGATTTTCACTAGCTATCATTACGTAGGGCAACGCATTACTTCAACATTACTTGCTTTCTTTGTTAATCCATCGCTTAAAGAATCCCACAATTTGACCGTGCTTATGTTAAGTATAGTTAATTCAGGTAATTTGGCTGGCTTTTTAATTCTTTGAAGCTGATGGCCGTGCTTATGTCATGGTGTTAACTTATATATATAAATATATTTTTACAAATTTTCAAGTGGGGTGTCCATATAGTTCCATGATTCCATCTCGTGCAGGATGATTTGAGGGTGAAAATGGTGTCAAGATCTCATCTTTTTCATAATTTTTCTTTTTTGCTCTAAATATATTTAAAAGATAATTGTGGATTCATAGGAAGCTACAAGGTCAATATTAGGCACCCATGTTTTAAAAGCAACCTTCTTTAAGGACCTTCATTTTTGTGTGATTTATAATTTTTTTCTTGTTTTCAGAATAAAAGATAAGGAAAAAAGAGCCCTTTTGCTCCGTATTTGAACCGTCTCTTTGTTATAATGAGGCCAAATGCTCACTGATTTTTTTCTTTTACCTTAAAAGGACTAATTTTTGTGTTATATCTAATCGAGAGAAAATTTTGTTCTGCTTTTTAATGTTTTTTTTTGAAGGGTTTATGATTGTAGTTAAAATTTTCTGGCGGTGACTCTTGGGAGTTGGGATTTTGTTAAGCATTCACAAGAATATTGGTGATTTTGGTCACGAGAAAGATTCAAGATAAGGCTCAACTTTTCTCAACTGTTTTCATCATTTCTCAAAAACTTTCTTCTTTTCACTGCTCACTGCCCAATTGGCTATTGCACTCTTTTTAGACTTTACCGCATCTCTTTTTTGAACTGGTTTTTATCAAGTATAAATACAGTTATTTGTCGGGTGTCTGAATGAAATTTGTGTTGGAATTGTGTTCTTGAAAATATGAATCACTTGGCACTAGTTGAAATCACCAAGGACGAGATGGAGTTTCTCAGATTGTGCTCCAGAGCCCATGCGGGGCTTCAATTCGGTTATGGGACGTCTTTAGCATAGCTATATTTCTTTTACGAAGTTCTAATCAGATTCATCTTGTTTCAATTGTATGTACTTTTGGAATTTTTAAGTAAGTTTGTGAGTTTGAATTTTCTTTTGCAGGTTACTACTTCATGGGGCGCAAGTTCGATCATGGAAAACCGAAAAGGGTGAAGAATTGTTGTTTACGAAAAATATATATGAATTCGACTGATCATTGCAAATGATGGCAAATTATCACTATATTTAATGTTGTTGTGCTTGTATGACTGACATTAATATGCAGGTGGGTGTATGTGGTTTCTTACCTTATGCGGTAAGGGTTCAATGTGGATGCGAAATTTAGGCTGAGAATGGATGGATGGTTGTTACTGAGCATGACACGACAACAATAAAAACTAAGAAATATGGACAGTTGCTTCACAAAAAATGTGACACAAATTTTGTAGCAATGTATTTCGAACTTTTTTTTTGTGGGTGAATGAAGAGATAGTTGGGATGTGCATATTTATCTGTGGCGCTTAAGATTTATTTGAAAATGAGTTGAGAATAATAGCAAGAATATGACAAAGGATCTTGAGAAACTTAACAGACATAATATATGTAAAGAGGAGCACCAACAATTGAGCTGAGCCTGCAACAATTGTCCATAAAGTTGTGTAATGAGGTCTTTATGGTGAAAGCTTATTTTATTAACAACCAGTGTAAAAATTAGACATGAACATCACAGTAGTTTTACCCCGGGTGTTAGACTGCCGTGCGTGCACGGCGTAAACCCATCTAGTATATATATATATATATATATATATATATATATATATATCTTATATGCCTTCAATAGCCGACAAGTGGCCATTCCCTTGCATGACAAGTGTCCATTTTGGGTCAATTACTCAAACGTCCTTTTTTTAAAGGAAGTGTAACACATTTTTGTGAGGAGAATTGTGTAAACTACATCGCCTTACCCTCTTTTGGTGTCTTGACTGAAGTGCCCCTATGTATTCAACTTTTTGGGGGTGCAAGTGTAATTTTATGCCCTTCTTCTTTGTTGTAGCAGTCGTCGTATTTTTGCGCGATTTCCTCCCAAAAAGTCCGACTGTCACGTTTCTCATTTTTTGACAGAACGCTTCGTCAAGCACGCAAACATCACATCGCACTCTCATTCTTTTACGGTTCTTTTTACTCCAAACCCCAAATCAATACTGCCCTTTATTTTCTCTCCTCAATTCTAATATCCTCTGAGTGAGAGTTAAACAATGGTGACAAATTAGGGATTATCTATCTTCCACCATGCCCTCCAAAAGTGTAGGCGTAGACCGCCTCTTCGAAGCCCTAGGCCGCGTATTGAACTAGTGTCCTTTCTCCGGATCTCCGCTTGCCAGAGGCAGGTCCACTCGCCGGGGTCAGCTAGGATGACGGAGGCAGCATCTCAGTTATATGATGGCCCGAGTAGCGAGCAGTGCCAGTTAAGACTGCTGGCTCACAAAATAGATCGCCGGCTAAAGCCAGAACAAAGCCATAAACAAGAAATTAGAAAGACCCTTTTGACATCGAGGTCCTACACGACGGATTTCGACGAGATGGGGCAACTTTTCAACACGAATTCAGGTACTGGTTATATTTTGTCACTTGAAAGCCCTAATATTTTCTTTATTTTTTGGAACAAAATCAATTGAATTCCAACTAATATATAAGGAAAGTTTGTCCTTCGATGGGATTTTTTCTTTGTTCTTTCATATGGAGTGCACAGATATCTGCATTTTTAATGTCTATATCGTTATATTAACTTGATGTGTAATGCTTTTCATGGCTGTCACACCCCACCTTACTAGCTTTGAAAAATCAGAGTAAAATTTTTGCTTTTATTTTCGAAAGGTCGTGCGAGATTGGTTTTCGAAAATACTAACTGATTGTGGGATGTCACAGATAAAAACTTACTTAACTTGCTCACAAACATATATAAAACACGCAACCAAACTATCCGCTACGGATAATGGAATTACACATGCAATGTCTGAACTGTCTTGCACTGTCTAGTCTGCTAGCGGAAGCATCCGAAATACAGAAAATACATGCATACATATCCGAATAAAACATGATCATAAATACTGGGACATAAAATGTGCGTAAAAATGTCCAAGAGTCTCATGACCACGCTTTGCCACGCCTATGCTCATCCGACACGCTCGACTCCGTCTCCTGAAAAACACAATGGGGGCGTGAGCAAACCACTATGCTCTGCAAAGACCAGTACTGAATAAAACAGCATTTATAATAACGATATCATGGCATCAATATATAAGAGCTGAAACTGAAATCTTTTTTTGCTTTTCTGAACTTTTCTGAACTTTGGTCCGTCGACCCTCGGCCCTCGGCCGCTCGTGTGCACACCATCCAAACACTGAGGCCAAAACCCCAGCCAGATACCAGGTAGAATAGGAAGGCCCTTAGGTCGGCCTCTCACCTGGGAGAACTAACTGTCTCGAACATACCTCAGTGATGGTACAGATGTTATAAATGATGTAGAATCCAGTACATGACCCCCACCTGATAACTGAACTGACACAAGTGCTGGAAACTGGAGTAGCGGTCGGAGGCTCGACTCTCCTTAGGCTACATAAACATTTAAGCAAAATATGTTAGAGGTATGCTGTAAAAGCTGTGTTTTGCAGTTTCTATCAATTCCATTT